CCACTCGCAAAACAGGACCCGGGCTCTGCTTTGCCTGTGCTGGTCACACCTACACCTCTCTTTGAGTGATGGTCGCGTTCAGAGGCATCTTCGGTGGAGCGGATGGTCAACATGTCATCTCTCCCACCCAAAAGTGAGCTCCCTGAAGGCAGGGCCCTGACAGCCCCAGCCTGCAGTTAGTGCTCCATACCTTGTGTTGAAGGAGCACAGGAACTAGTAAGACCCCAAGAAGACAATATCCATCCGGGTTCACACCAGAAACACCTAAGCTCCGAAATCAGGGCAGAGTCATTATCCTGGCCCTGTCTCTAACTTCCTGGGCTACTTTGTGTGAGTGCTTCCATCATTGCCTTGGACTTCCGACTTCCTGCCCAGCTGCTGTGCAGACCAGCGAGTGTCAGAGGGAGAACATGGGGAGGAGTGAGAAGGGATACTGACTGAGCCACATCCCACTCTGGTAGGGAATCAGATTCCAGGTCCAAACACTTGTAACTGGCGGTCTGTAAAGTCACTTTCCTGGGGCAAAGCTGGGCTCCTCATTCCACCGTGCTGTCAGCCGACACCCAACCAACAGGGAGTAGTAGGAGGAATCAGTGATCCCACAAACAGCCCCTCCAAGGGCTCCCAGAGTCAGGGACAAACATGTTCTGCCTGCAGTGCTCTTCAGGCTTCATTTCTCCCCCTCTAATCTGGCCAGTTTCTTCCTCTTCTATGAGTATACCCTACTTTGTTTCCACAGATAATGAAAGCTATGTGTGTCATCATGTTTCCCTTTTTGCCTTGGCTTTCAGGGAGCTCATAGGTATATTTAGTGCTTAGTTGCTAAATAAGCTCATCCTAAGGGTCTGAGACAGAGACCTTTTCCTTTTCCCATCTTTGTTTGTTCTGTGCACATATATTTGTGTTTCAGGTTTAAGATTGGCCTCTCCTACATCTTGCTCATTCTGTTTCACAAAGGGTCTCTACTCTCAACTCTCCTCCCATCCTCCTTATCCCTAGAGATTAGGCCATCATCATTCTTACTTGGACTTTCTCAACAGTCTTTCAGCAGGTCTAGTCTGGGCCCCTCCAATATATTTTCTTCACAAAACGCCATAAGAGTTATACTAATCATTTCTACTTCAAATATGGTCCTCTTATCATTTACAGGTTAAAATTCAAATTTTTCAGCATTGGATTCAAGGCCAGTCACGTTTTTTGGCTCCTTTCATTGTCATCTACTCTACCCTTTTATCAGCCTCCCCAAAACGGCCATGCGTTTCCTGTCTCCATTATCTTTGGACATATTTTCCCGTCTTTTCCCTGGTCCATCTAGTAAAGACTTCTCAAAAGTCAGCTCTGAGTAACTTCCCCTCTGAGGCCTTCTCTTATTCTTCTAGACAAAATTAATTTTTAGTCTTTGCGTTCTCACAGCACTTTGTGCTATAGCTATAGGGGCGTAAATATTTATTTGCATTTGTCTCCTACACTGTGGAGGCAGATGCCTTCCTTCATTCCTTTCTATGTCTCCAGCACTTAGAAAAGTCTCTGACACATGAAGGTACTAAATAAATAATTGCTACAGGAATGAGTGAAGACCTCAGTGATTTGAAAAGACATTATTCTTTCCTGGGAGGACCTTCAGCAGCCCGGTTTGCCTCAGCTTTAGCCAATAAGAAATATAAGAAGCCCTAGGGGGGGAAGTTTCTGGGTCTCCTGCAGGTATAGTAGTAAAAATAGTTGTCTCTATGTTATCTAGTATCCTTTAAAGACGGAGATTTGATGCAGCTTCCAAACTCTAGTCCAAAATCTGGGGGAAAAGAAATCACCTACCCTTAGCAATTTGTTGCACCAAGAATCTGTCAAGCATGTGTTTGGTTTCCTGCAAGGGAACTCACTCACTGCTTCCAAGGCAGCCCATTCCATTGTTGGACAGCTCTGTTAGGACATTCTTTAAATGAAACTGAAATCTGACTCTCTGTGACTCTCTGAGTGGCTTTTAGTTCTACTCCCAGGGCTCCACAGAACAAGTCAACTCTTTTTGTCTTTTTTTTTTTTTCTTTTGAGACAAGGTCTCACTATGTAGTTCAGGCTGCCCTTGAACTCACTATGGAGCCCAGGCTGGCCTCCAACTCACAGTGATACTTCTGCCTCAGCCTTCTGAGTGCTGGGATTACAGGTATGTGCCACCACATCTGGGCCTTTTTGTCTTTTGAGGAGAGCTCTACTGAGATTTGAGGTAGGAAACCTCTCTTTCACGCTTTGCCTTTACTAGTCCCAGTCTTTGGGCCCCATGCCACTTTAAGCTTTTTCTTCAAGTTTGTCAAGCTCTTTTCCCTCCATGCCTCTGTGTGTATTATTTCTTCTGCATGGGATGCTCTTCCTGTACTCACCCTTATCAGCCTGGCAAGCTTACTAATTTTTCAAGGGTCATGGTCATTGCTACCTCCTTCCTTCATGTAACAATTATTGAGTAGCAACTCTGTGCCTGGGAGTGTGCTAGGTGCTGGAGACAGTGAAGGACAAGACAGACACTGATGCTTAGAGTCTTGGTTCTCTTGGAAGCCTCTGTGATGGTCTCTGAATTAGCCCTGCTCTTCTCCATGCTTCTGTTTCTCCATTCTAGCACTTGTGACATTGTATGATCTGTAGATTTTGTGTCACCGTCTTTAAAGTGATTTCCTTGAGAGTACAAACTATTTATCTCATATCTTCCCTATCCTTCATCATGTCTTTGCCCATAGTAGCTGCTACTAAAATTTATCTTATAATAGCCTTATTCCTTCATACAGTCCTCTTACGTCATTTATGGATACAAGCCCCAATCCTAGCCTACAGATGGCTTAATTATGTAAAAGTAGCATACCGATATGGAATGTAGGGATTTGGTTAAGGAAAGACTACTCAACCTAGTCCACTTAACTCTTTCAATAAGATTCTAAAAAAATATTAACCACAAGAGAATTAATATAAGAGGACTACACAAATGGTGAGCTGATAATATGTAACAACCAGCTCTCTTGCGGGGGGAAGAGGGAACAGTTCTGGATCTTGCATTTGCCAATTTCCATGGTATAAATATTTCCACTGCTGGCAATTAAAGCTACAACTGTGATATCACTGAATGAGCAGTTGGGAAGAGGATGTACAGCATGACCTATAGTGTTTCCTTTATACAGATGCAACAGACAACTTGTAGAACATTGATATAACTATTCCTTATTTAATGACCTACCCGTTTAATGACTGTTCAGACTTATGACCCACCTCTCAAACTTATGACTTGTCCTTTTTTTGGTATAGTTCTGTATATCTTGTTTATAGAGCCTCAATATCTTTTTTGTCCAGTATACCTTATTTATACAGTACTGTAACTTTTGCTGATTGTGCTGTACAGTATAGTACTCTAGTTTTATGTTCTGTTACACATTACAGTACTGCACATAAGAGCTATGCAAATAAAGCAAAGTCATCAAGTTGGAGTTTCTTTTTACCATTTCTCTGTTCTGAATATTGTAACGCACATACTGTATATAATTCCTAATTTATTCACTCGACCAATTTGCTCAGTGACCTAGTTGCAGGAACAGAACTTGGTCATTAAATGAGGAATATCTGTAATAGTAAAATAATTAGAAAGTGATACATTTTGAGTATTATCTCTGTTTAAAATATAACTTAATTTTAAGTTGATGTAATTTAGTCTTGGTAATAATTGTGTTTAATAACCAGTTTGCAAAATTCCTGAAAATTTAACACTTAAGTTGTCCTAAGCCAGCTCTAGTACACTTGGCTCTCCATATCTGTGGGTTTAGCACCCACAGATTCAACCAACTGTGGGTCTAAAATATTTTTTAAAATTCCTTGTCCTTATTTCCTAAACAATATAGTGTAACAACTATTTATGTGCATTTGTATTGTATTAGGTATCATAAGTATAGATGATTTAAATCACATACGGGAGGTAGTGTGTAGGGTATGTGCAAATACTGTGCCATTTACTACAAGGGACTTAAGCATCCCTAGATTTTGGCAGCTACCAGGTCCTGGAACCAATCTTGCATGGGTAGTGAGCAATGGCTGCGTACTGCCTTTACTTGATTATGTCCTAAAAGGGATGGACACATTGCCTCTTTAAATCTGAGGCCAATGTATATACCTTGGGAGGAAAATCTTATTTAAAGGAGCTGTCAGACTTAATTTATATGTAAAGTGAACAATCCCCACACTACCTCTAACCTCCAAAGAAGCCACGTTACTCATCTATATAACAAATACTTATTCAAAACCCACTATTATGTTAAGACATGTTCATTTGGGTCTCCAGATATTGTACATATATAGTGGACTGAGATGAGTGTTTGTAGAATGGATGAATGTACTTTTAACACTTCAAATACTGCCTGGTGCATTTGATATGGGCAAGCGATCACCACAGGGACAGAGGACCACAAAACTCCTGAACCCTTAGTCTGTTCTCATTAAAAACATGACTTGTGGGGCTGGAGATTTAGCTCAGTGGTTAGGGCCGGGGATTTAGCTCAGTGGTTTCGCCGCCTGCTGCGCAAGCGCAAGGACCTGAGTTCGATCCCTGGTACCAAAAAAAACAAACAAAACCTAGCTCAGTGGTTTCGCCACCTGCTTCACAAGCACAAGGTCCCAAGTTCAATCCCCGATACAAAAAAAAAACAAACCAAAAAACATGACTTGCGTTTTTTCTGAAACAGTCAGGGAATTACAAGCAGTTTTTGCTAAAACTAATAACCCTTCACTTGGGCCTACAGATGTCCAATAGGTAACTAAAAGCAAAACAAAGCTTGACCTTCATTGTATATACCTTAAAACTTTGGATTTAAGTATATTAATCATTTAGGAAAAGTTGGCAAAACAAGGTTTATTAACACTAAATTTACCTAGTCTGTCTTACCCCCATTCAAGACTGAGAATATCAAGATAAAAATAAGTGAAGTAATATTCAGGATTCACAGGACCATCCGATAACCAGCTTTTTCGACATTCAGTTCCAGACCTGTACCCACTGGAGTGATGCTTAAAAGTCTTCAGCCTTGAATAACAAACAGTGCCACAAAGACAATCATTTCATCACAATCAAATTGCCCCTGAAGCCATGAAGATTCCTCTAGAGCTACAAGACCAAGACTGAGATAATAATCAACAGGACCCCAGCCCACTACAGCACCACATAAAACTGGTCTCCATTCTTTTGTGAATGGGCCAGACTGATTCCTCTCTTCATACCTGTATACCATTCAATTCCTCAAAATGAAGCAATTTTTCTATCTTCTCTTACTTTCCTTTGTGACGAGACAAGCTTGATCTTAAGAGCTGTCTCCTTTTATTTCTCTTACTTTCCAATTAAATCCTTTACCTCTAAATTTATACTGCTGCTTTCATTTTAATTTTCATTATCAGCAGGGTGTGGTGGCACAAGCCTATAACCCCAGCACTCTGGGAGACTAAGGTAGGAAGAGCGTAAGTTGGAGTCCAGCCTGGGCAACTTAGTGACTTAGTGACACCCTGTCTCAAAACAAAAAATTAAAACATGGTCTGGGTAAACCTTAACCAATCTTACTAAAAAAGGGAAAGAAAAGACCTAAGTAATGCAATTAGAATGAAAAAGATGAAATCACTACAGATACTGCCAAATACTGAATGTCATTAAATTGGAGAATTCAGAATAAATGGATAGATTGCTAGATTCATATGAAAGGGAAAGAGTACTCCCAAAGTCATTCCTTTTACTTTCATTACAGAGTTTGAGGAGTATTGATGTTAGATCTTCCCTAATGTTCTTGTAGAATTCAGGAGTGACTCCATCCAAACCTGGGCTTGTCTTAGTTGGTCAGTTTTTTTTTTTTATTACTGTTTCAATTTCATTGCCTATTATTTAATTCTTTGGGGTTTTTATATCTTCTTATTTCAATTTTAGTAATTCATATGAATCTAGCAGTCTATCCGTTTATTCTGAATTCTCCAATTTACTGACATTCAGTATTTTGGGAGGGGATCAAAATGGAGGAAGGGGGGATACAAAGAATTAGGACCAAACCAAGGCCAAAACCCAGCAGGGCACACATTTAATTTTGTAGCTCCATGTCCAGCCCTTGAGGAAAAAGTGACAAGCTATGAATGGGTGGTCCTGCCCCTAAGGCATTGCCTATTGTTGTGGCCCTCATGACTTCTCTCTTGAGCTGGCTTTGCTCATTTCTTGTGGCTCTCTCAGATATTCTACTGCAAATTGCAGTACTGAGGATTGAATTTAGGACCTTGCACTTTTGAGGCAGGTGAGGTGCCACTGAGCTGAATCCCCAGCCCCCCAGATATTCTACTTTTCTGGTTTCTCCAACTGTTTGGGATCTCCATTGCACTTTCTGCTTCACTCTCACAGCTTCATACAATGCCCTCTAAAGGGCATTTTGTCTGGTCTCCCAGGGTTTATTCTGAGGCCTGGGTAGATTCCTCCATGACTCTGTAACTCTTGCATTCTGCGTGCCTATAAAGCCAGAATCATATGGATGATGCCCAGGTCTTCTGCCAGCTCAAGCAGTGTGAAGGCCTCCTTGAATCAAGGCTGCAGAGGTTTCCAAGTGCCTGGATGGTGGAACACTATGAACTGAACTCCAGAGAAAAGATTTCCTAGGCCACCATTCACCAGCATAGTGTGCTGAGGCTCTCTTCTCAAAGCAAGATCTTTCACTTTTGCAATTTTGAGCCTGGGAAGGTGGGAATTTACTGATTCCTGACATGTACTCAGGCCATTTTCCTTATTGTCTTGATCCAAAGTACTGGGTTCTTTTTAATGCTAATCTTTTTAGCAACCAAGCCTCCTCCACTCCAATTTTTCAAATCCCAACTGAACTGGAGCTTCATTTCTGGCCAAATAGAAAACTTTAAAAAATCATTCAGCTGTGCTGTTTGTTCTCAATTTTCAGTATAAACTTGACTAAAAGCTGCCTGAAGTATCTATGCTGCAGGCTGAACATTGGGCTACCTTAAAATTTCCTCTGCCAGATTAGTCTACCACCCTTAATCACAGCCTCCCACAAGGTCTCAGGACATGAGTAAAACATAGGCAAATTTTCTGTCAGAGCATAATACACATGGCTTGGAGTCCAACTGCCCATGCAACCCTTGTTCTCAACTGAAATCTCCTTAGCCTGCTTTTTACAGTCTGCCTTTTTATCAGCATTCTGGTCTTCTAAGCTCTAACCAGAATCTCCCATCAAGCTTGGCTTATAGCATCCTAGGGCTTTTCTAGTACATATCTCCAAACCTTTAAAAACTCTTCCCATGAACTAGTTTCAGAGGCTTCTGAACCACATGGTCAGGAAACAGTCACAGTAATGGCCCCACTTCTGTGGTACCAAAATCTATCTTAGTCACTTTATTGTTGCTGCCAACAAAATACCCAACACCCACAACTCAAAGGAGGAGAGATTTATTTTGACTCACATTTTAGAAATTTCAGTCCTTGCATGGTTGGCATCATGGCAAAGGGCCTGGGTGGAGGAAAGCTACTCACCTTATAGAAGACAGAAAGCAGAGAGCAAAGAGATTAATTGGAGAGGGACATGCATGCTACCAGGCCTTGTTCACAATGACCCATCTCTTCAGACCAGTCCCTATCTCCTAAAAGCACATTAGCTATACTGCCCTCAAAATCTATCACAGTCCAAAAGCCCTACCAAGGCTCTTGGAGGATATCTAGATATAAACCATACCAATTTTCATGGGGCTTATGTGGCTATGTGAATATTTCTGTGTTTCTCCTCTGCTGTAGGCCTTCTAAGGACAATCTGCACCCAAAGGGTTTGGTGAATGGAGTGTCAAAAAAACAGGATAGGGGGCCAGAGATTTAGCTCAGTGGTTCCGGCACCTACCTCAAAAGCGCAAGGTCCTAAGTTCGATCCCCAGTACCAAAAACAAAACAAAACAGGATAGGAGAACATAGCCCATAATCTCAAGGAACCCTTATGAAGAAAATGAGTGGGGACAAAGTGTCTCTAATGAAATCCATGAGTAGGGTCATCTTTCATCTAGGTCCTAAGCTCTGTACTCCCAGAAGTCTCCTTTACTTCAAGCATTCTCACTAACAAAGCACCAGGGAGAACAAGCCTTCTGCCCCTGCCTCCTTCACATCTGGGGTCACTTAAGAAAAGCAGTTTGCACTCAAATCTCCCCCTCCCCTACTGGGGATTGAACTCAGGACCTTGGGCTTGCCAGGCAGGTGCCCCCCCCGCCCCCTTACTCAGACTTCCTTCAATTGGTCTGTGAAGATGTAAGCCAGAGTGCCAGAGAATAGTGCTCTATAACTTACATCATGCAGGCCAGATAATGTCAGGTGCTGTATTCACCCAAGGAAGAGACTTAGCAACCAGGGGCGTTTCATTTTAAAAATGTAAATCAGAGCTGTGTGTGGTGGGAACACCTGTAGTTCCATCTATAGACTCAGAAAGATGAGGCAGAAGGATTGCAAGTTAAGAGGCCAGCCTGGGCTATACAGTGAGACACTGCTTCAGGAAAAAAAAAAGAAGGTAAATCAGATAAATCACTTTTTTGCTTAAACTTTCCCAGTGCATTTGGAATACAATGCAAATCCTTAACATGACTTATAAATTCCTCCATGACCTGCCCCTGCCCACTTCTGACCTCAGACTTCTCTCTCTTGACCTTTTTTCTGCCCCTTGGGTACGCTAAGCTGCTGCCCAGTCCCTCCTCAAGTTCTTTGCTTTTGCTGTTTCTCCTGCTTGGAATGCTGTCCCTTAAACTTTTCCCACAGCTGACACTTCATTCAGCTCAAATGTCACTTCTTCAGTCTATCTAACAATGTGCATCCTCCAGTCATTTTCTATCATACTGCCTTGCTTAATTCCTTGTGTCACTTATTACCCGAAATACATTTTTTCACTTGTATGTGATCTGTCTCTCTTGTGAGCATGCAAGCTCCATGGCAGCCTGGACTTTCGATTATTTGTTTTTGCCATATTGGGGATTGAACCCAGGGACTTTGTGCTGAGCCACATCCTCAGCCTTTTTTCTTTTTTCTTTTGAGAAAGGGTCTTACTAAGTCACTAAGTTGTCTGGGCTGGGCTTGAACTTGTGATCCTTCTGCCTCAGACTGCCAGAGCGCTGGGATTACAGGTGGGGACCACAAAGCCAAGATTGGACCTTAATTCTTGATCATTGATATATCCTTAGCTTCTAGGACGGTGCCTAGAACATAGTAGATTCTCTCTCTCTCTCTCTCAACTTCAAGATTTTATCTTTATAATAAAACAAAATATGAAACTTAGAACTGGATCACTCAGCCCTTTCTATTCTCATTTCCTCCCAGTTCAAAACGCCTGCATATTGCAAAGGTACAGTGGCACATGCCTGTAATTCCAGTACTCAGAAGGTTGAAGCAGGAGGATAAAGTTCAAAGCCAGACTAGGCTACATAATGAGACCTTGTCTCCAAAAACAAAACAAAAGCCTCCATCTGTTAAGAGACAACATCTTTTAAATCTGCAAATGAGTTCAACACATCACTGCTTTCTCTGGACGTACAGAGCATCCTTGTCCTTCTTGTACTATGTCACTTTGTTAGATTGATGCCTGACACAGTTCTTACTGAAAGTCCAGTAAGTTTTAGGAATATTCACCATGTTTGCAGACACATTATACCATAGAAAGTGAATTAAAAAAAAAAGAAATGGAGGACAGACCACTTATCTGTACTATCGGATTAGTTTGAAGAGTGAAGCCCAGACTTGCGACCCCAAGTCCTTGAAATTCAACCACATTAATATTTTCATCATCATTGCTGCCCTCACTTTTATCATCACTCCCACCAATACTGGAAACAAGTGCTGCCCAGCACATTAAGGAGAGTACTTAATGTTTGTTGAATGAATGAACGAATGAACAGCAACTTTATATCCAACTGCAAACTTCCTTTCTAGTCTTCTTTGTTCCTCCTCTGCTGTCCCTACTCCAGCTTCTTGCCATAGTTTGCTCAAGCTACTCAGAACCAGCCATTTTCACTCCACATACGTCCTCCTGTCTCCATGTGTTGGCTTCTTCTGCTGTTGTTTTTGGAATTCCCTCTCCCCTCTTTGATGAGTTCTCATTCTTCCTTTGGGATCCAATTCTGTATCCACCTTGCAGTCACTTCCTCTTCTCTCCTTCCATATCTCTTTGTCTACACCCGTGTTAACCCCCCTCCCCCATTATAGGTTCACATATCTGTCCTTTCCAGATACTGCGCTTCTTGAGGGCACAGATGGTATATTTCATCCCTGTGGTCTCAGGAACCATGGCTGGACCTGCCACACACCAGTGTCACAATAAATGTTGAAATCTTCT